AACCCTAGCCAGAATCCCCAGCGCATCTGAAGGATTTTGCAGATTAGAAAACGGTAACTCATCAGTATTCGACGATCCAGATCGTGAGTTCTGTAACTCCTCGTCATACTGCACTTGATTTGGGTCGGGCTCCTGCCACGTCCCAAGGTTGCCCAGGGTATGAAAACTCCCCTCTGGCTCCGTCGCTTTAAGCGAAGGGAGAGATTGCTGTGGCTGTTGCTGTGACGATGTTGGCTGCACGGCGCCTCCATCCTCGACTTTCTTCTTCCTCACGCGACGGCCGCCACGGTTACTTCCTCCGAGAATACAGTCGAGATTGTCGCGTTTACATCTTAGACAGGGTATCGAGTTATCCGAGTCCCTTTTGTTCGCAGCGCATCAGCAAAACTTCCAGGTTAGATAATCGCCGATGGGACACATCTATGCTGCTTCATTCCTCAAAACTTACAGCAAACACCGACTCTTCCTCTTCCGGCAATTCAAACACGCAATCTGCGTCCTTTTAATGCGTGCCGCTTCCTCCTCCCTCGTCTCTCCATTGAACACTGCACCATTGCCTCCATCTGTACTTCCTTTGTGGCGTGGGGAGGTTGATGTATCCATTGTGGAGTCGAAGTCGAATGTCGGTGTTTGATCGTCGGAGCGCGGCACGGTATTTTGAGTTGGGTTGCCGTTAGCGGACCGGGTGCAAGGCTGGACCGAGTCCTGGGTAGTAGCCGACATCTCACTACGAAGGAACATCCAATACAGCCATCACAGTATATCAAAGGCTTCATAAAGGGGGTCTAAACATAAGGTGTATACTCTACAGGTAACTACAGATGTACTCTTATGCTCTTGAATTTGCATATTGTCTTCTCGCTGTTCTACAATTTAGACGTTTCTACTTGTTTGGTAAGGCGGGGACGCAACAACTACAGTCGACCTTCGTAAAGCACCCTCACGTCTATTGTTTCGGATGCTGGAATATGTGTTTAGAATGTTGGTTCTTGTTATAAGTATAGATGTAGAGGATTGTCTCGCGTGAGCGTAGTTTGTTTCTGATCACCTTCCATCCACCCCCACCTCTCCCCGAGACTTGAGCGCCGATTACCGCCCAACCACCCCAATGCTCCTTTCCTGCCCCTAGCCCCCAATGCACCTTCCCATCCCACCATACCAACTCCGCCAAATATGCTTTAAAAAGCCCCCTAAACACCTTGCTTAGATGCAATGCTTGCGTCAACGGACGCTGCACCAGTACCAACCGACCGACCGATATGCAGACTTTTTCGAAATGGACTCGCTGGACAAAAGAAATAAGTGGCGGTTTGCGCAAAACAGCAGGAAGACCGTAGCTGACCATCAGCCATCAACATCAACATGACTCATAAAATCGTCTTTCTTTCGTAAGAAGTGTATCCCTCCCCAATTAGGTGTTGGTTCGTGAACAGGGAGGGCATCAAGCAACATAAGCAGGCGGTGCTTCCATGGCCTCGTCACTCGCCCACATGCCCCCGCTAATTCCCGGCGCAGTCTTGCGCCTCTCGTGCCGTGACCTGGGTTGTGGCGATCCCCTGTCCTTCTCCTCTTGTACTTTTCGTGCAATCTCCTGCGCCATCTTGTGCATCCAGGCTTGTTCGAGGATACCACCGGAACTAGGCGTTGCGTCTGCGCTCGAAGGGGAGGATAGTGACGAGATCTTATCGAAGGAGAGGGAACGCAGGAGCGGGGAGGTCGATTGCTGGACCTGACGAAGCTGGTTGCGTGACAAAGGGGGGCGTTTGGAAGAGGATTTGGATTTGCCGGGCTCGTCGGTCGCGGCTTTTTGTTTGGATTTGGGGAAGTGGACTGGGTCGGAGAGGAGGGGTGCGGGAGCAAGGTGAGAGTCGGGGTCCCGAGTGGGCGTGGATCCAGGGAGACGACTTGGTTCGCCGTAGTCGAGACTACCATGCTTGCTTTCGAAGGTCATGCCTGGCCGACTCGGAGTCCTCGGTGGAGTAGCAAGCTCTTCCTCAAGCTCTCGTTCTTCGAGTATGACGCTAGAGGTCTCCGACGCGTATGAGCTTGGTGTTGGCGTGTGTGCCTCGCTGGAAACACCAGGGGACTCTGCCGCATCAGTCTTCTTCCGCAAATCGACAACACGCTTCTTGCGCTTGCGCATGCCTCCCGTGCGCGATCGGCCCGCACCCAGGCTTAGTCCTGCGGAGAGGTAGGATGATGATGACATCAACGTCGGCCGCGAGCTCAATGTCTCATTGCCCGTACTGCCCGAGGCGACCGATGATGCACCAGACTTGTAGCTGCCAAATGTAGATTGTATCCTCGACAAACTGCCTTGCGTGAGCGCTGGTGTAGCCGCACCCGACTCTGACCTGTCTGGATGACCAGCCCAAGCGCGGAAGACGGCATCTCGAATGCCCGGTGTGAATAGGGAGAGTGTTCGTTGCGATTCGGAAAGGGCGGCAAGGCGTAGGATGTTCTTCTGGGAGAAGGAAGCGTGAACCTCGCCGCTAGCGTCGAGCGACATTTCCGAGATCTGCGACTCGTCGAGGAGGTTGCCAAATGCATCGACGGCATCTTGCGGTGGTGATGCGAGGGGATCAACCGCTGCAGAGTTGTCGTTGTTTCCTTCCAACCGCTCCTCTGCCTCTATTTCTTGATACTCGGGTGACAGCATGCGTTGTGATAGTCGGTGGATGATGGCTGGTAGGTCTTCCATGAACAGTATGCGCAGTTGTCCTTCAATCTCCTTTTGTAGATAGTCTCGCACGAAGGGTATCGAGTCAAATGTCGAGGACACCTTGAGTGACTCGAGAGGATCATTGCGAAAGACTAGCGTCAAGCCTTTTTGTTTGGAGAAGACCAAGATGACGAAGCCGGACAGCCGGATGTTCGACAGCGTTATCTGCAGTGGAATCGTCAAGCCAGATGATGCAGCAAGAGGCTGTGGCGATGCAAAGTCGGGCTTGTTGGATAGATATGTCTTGAGTGGATTGGCCTGGACTTTTGTTTTGAGCGTCAGGAAGGCATCTCCCGCATACGACATCTTGAAAATGCCCCGGAAGCGGTCCTCGGCCAAATCGCCTATTTCCAGAATCTCCAGCTCGGGTGGAGTGGTGCCCAGGTTGAGCTCGGTGACGATGATGTCGTCGACGATGATGGGCGGCTTGGGCGACTTGTTGAGCGCCGTCGTCAACATGTCGCGCGCCCGCGAAGTGTCGGCAATGAGCGGCGACCAGTTGAAGTTGAAGGCCATGGTCGAGAGTGGCGCGCGGCGTGGAAAGTGCAGGCGTTGCCGTTGCGTCTTCTAGCGACGGAGCTGGAGAGGTCGGAGGGCCGTGTCGCGTGCATGTGATGGTCTCGTGCCTGCCATGTATCCACCCGAAATGGTCGAAATGCGACTGTCAGGAGTTGTGACGCAAAACTGTGGGCGGGGGGGTCGAATTGGCTAGCGGCAACAGGCGGCAGTGTGGGTGAAACGTGACGGCAATGTAGCGGTGAAAGATGGTCCAGAAGAATGTGGAGTGAGGTGGGAGCGCTTGTGAGGTAGGGATTTTTCGGAGCGGCGGAGAAGTCGCAGGCGGAGGTCCGTGATATGTCGACTACTGCACCTCGCTCGCTAAGGGAGCCAACCTTCAGGTACAGACACGACCATTCCTGCAGGGCACGCGATATGCAACGGCGACGACGAAATAAGGGGGTAAGTGATGGCAGTGATGGGCGGCTATGTGCGAGGAATCAACCGTAGTTGCGCAATCACTCGACCACCACGATCAGACAATGCAAAGCCACTTTCTCCTCCACACTCAGAGGCCTCCAAGCCACTTTGCCCGCCGCACCAGCACTGCGTGCCGTGCCTTGCCAACAAGTTCAATCCTGCTGCTGTACGCGTACCCTAGTGGATTTATCCCGTGATAGGCTGGAGAGTCACGGAGCCGTCGGCACACCGCTGTCGTCGCTAGCCTCCCTGGGCAATGTCTGATGCTGTCGAGTAGGTGTAGCCAATAGTAGAGACGACGGGAAATTCGCTATCGATAGGGATGAGAATAGCATCAAGGTCGAGTAGGCACAACAACTTGTTTCATGCGCACTGCGCCTGTTTGGTAGGCAGTCTATCGCTCGCCATCCGTTGGCAGGTGAGTCTTGGTGGCACGTGGAACAAGCCCTAGCAACTGTGACACCTCATGTGCCATTCCAAACCCCCACATACATGGAGTCTGTTCACAACCGGACAAAAAAACCCCCCATCATGCACTTCCCGGCCGACACCAAAGCTACTTCGCGGCGCCGTCCTCCCTCAGCAACTTTTCCACAGCCGCAACCTTGTCCTCGGCACTCTGTTTCTTATCCGTCCTTGAGCCAACCCTGATATCGCTCTGAATCCTCACCACCCCATTCTGGTGCAGCAAAGCGTGACACTGCCCAATGACTCTCATCACGTCGTCCCAAGAGCCTTCTGCATGACAGACGGTTAGCTCAGCCCTACCCCACTTCTACTCCCAAACTGCTGCTAGACCAGATCGTGGCTCCATGATGGGCGTCCAGCTTTGCACGGGCGCTGGGGAAATGGATCTTCGTAGGGCTGTAGGAGCGAGGGCCACATACCGACTGTTGTTCCAGCAGAGTGCATCGTATACACTAGACCGCTTTTCTTCAGGACCCGCTGCACCTCTGCCACTTCCTTGGACACGGACGCCGTTGGCGTGCCGAGCGGTATCAAGCAAAAGTCTGCAATGCACGCGGGCGGTGTGGGGAGCGTAGAGACGTCGCTGGAGGAGCTCATTGTCACTTTGAGCAATGGAGAGTGAATGCTTGTATTTGCTGTGTCTGCCTGTGTAGATAGAGTAGCGGTCTAAGGGATGTTGAGGTTCCTTTATAAATGAGGGGCAAAAAGAGGAAGCCGTGACGACGGTCAAACCTTCCGCACCTCGGACATGGTCATTTTTCCACCTCGTCTCGACCGCTACAAAAGCAAAAAGGAGAGAATCGAACTCCCAAGAGGAACCAATTGACAGGAATGATTCAGCCGAGGTTTGAACTCGGGACCTTCAGTGCGCGACATCCGTTGTAGGAATGTTAGACTGACGTGATAACCAACTACACCACCGAACCTGTTTGCTTGATGGAAATTGTTTAAAATATAGAATATATGACGGACCAAAATTTGTCATGAAGCTCATCTTAGACATCTGAACGGCGCAGAGATGTTCTGGTGGGACAGTGGGTCCAATAGCGGAAGCGAACACTATATTAGCTAATGTGTTGCGCGAAACCTACGCGACATGACGTCGATGTCACGGTCCAATCTCAACTACGTGGACTCTGCACTTCACGATCTTCCTATGGAGCGGTCTTTGGCTACCCTACAGATGCATGTAAAGAGCACAGGCTAGTTACATTAGCCCAGGTCCCGTCGCATGAAAGCGAAGACGTGGGTTGTAGGGCCCGGTGCCTCATATATTTCTGTGCGCTTTCAACCGCCATCATAAGGTAATCCTCACAAGCGATCCATCCAAGTACAGGTGAGCATTGTCAATTTCACTTCTATCAACAAGAAATGAATATCGGATGTACGGCATAATTTCATGGATGGCTCTCAAGCATATAAGTGCACGCCCAGCGAACTTCAGTTCGTGATACTGCAGTACGAAGGAGCTCCTCTTTCATTAAGTTACCAAAGTCACTTAGTCTATTCACCGTAACGACTATAACACACTAAAATGTTACTTGGAGTAATTAGGTATCACGTAGATTGTCTCGAAGTAGTAGAGATTATAACGATATAGCTCTTTCTGCCTTTGTTATCTTCTTGCTACTGTATAGGCTCACGTGTTGTGCTTTAACGTAAGATGGTGCACAATAAAAAGAGTTGGATCATAAGAGGGCTCCAGCGTAAAGATTTGTTTTTGGACTTTCGACAGAGTACCTTTCAATGACCGCAACGCAGTGGCTAGACTAATCCAAGGCACCTCACATGCAGAGGGACGAAACTCAACATGTATTTGTGTTGCGGAGGCTACATCCATTTTCCCACTGGCGGGAATTCGACAACTGCGGTTTCCACGTGGCGATTTCGAAGATCTACATCTCCAAATTATGCATGAGAACACCAGACCCCTTCACTTGTCTTGATGAAGAAGATTATTGACGCTGGAGATTGCACCTCCGTGACCAAAGCGGACTAGGCTTGGGTGCAGCTGTCATAAGCATCCCTGGTTCCACTGCTCGGCTCCAAGAACACTAGAGAATTCACAGATCACAAGTAATAACAAACGCAGGTCTGGTGTCCCCGGTCCTCGGCTCGACTCACGCATCTTAGTTTGCCCCGGGTTTTGGATGTTCTGGAATAGTCAATTGCCGCTACGGCTCTTTACCAGGATAATTGCGCCAATCACCAAGATAGTCTCCCATCTTGGCCTTGCTGGATTCAATCTATCGCGGGGAAAGTTAGATTCGAGGGCGAAATGATCTCGCGACTTGTCTTTCCGTATCGCAGAGGGTATAGTGTGGCTCAGCTCCGAGGGCCGACATGGTACATATGCTGTGGTCCGACGACTGATTGAGACGTTGTCGACAGCAATCAACTCGAGTACCTCAAAGCCAGCATAAGACAAGATGCTTTACAACGCTGCGTCACTCCTTTTGCTTGCCACTGGCGCGTCTGCTGCCGTGGCTGGTCAGAAAGTCCCGGCTGGGTTCGTCACGACCAAGGGCACCACGTTCCAGCTTGATGGGAAGAACTTCTACTTTGCCGGTAGTAACGCATACTATTTCCCATTCAATGATGTTTGTAAGCTCAATTGACGATCAGAATGTGTAATAACAGGCTGCAGTTACAATCTGATGTCGAAGCTGGCTTCACTGCGGGCAAAAAGGCCGGACTCAATGTCTTCCGCACATGGGGCTTCAACGACCGCAACAGGACAACAATCGCTGGAGGTCTTCCTCAATATGGCGGGGAAGGGGCTGGTCCTAGTCCAAACGTCATGCAATGGTGGGATAATGGTAAACAGGAGATCAACCTCGCGCCGTTCGACAAGGTTGTTGCAGCAGCAGAAAAGACTGGAATGAAGCTCATTGTCGCATTAACTAACAATTGGGCCGATTATGGCGGATTTGATGTTTATACCGTTAATCTGGGCTACAAGTATCATGATGATGTGAGTGGTTGACCTCCTGAATGGTCCGAGATGTTGCAATCGCTAACCAAAACAGTTCTTCCACGTCCCAGCCATCAAGAAAGCTTTCAAGAAATACGTCAAAGCTATTGTTCAGCGTTACGCTAAATCGCCAGCGATTATGGCATGGGAATTGGCCAACGAGCCGCGCTGTGGTGCAGATGGTGTTCGTAATCTGCCAAGAAGTGAGAACTGCACGCCCGAAATGATCACGGAGTGGATAGACGAGCTCAGCACCTACGTCAAGTCGATAGACAAGAATCACCTTGTCACCTGGGGCGGAGAAGGAGGTTTTAATCGAGAATCAAGCGATGGTTTCTACTCAGGATTTGATGGCGGGTAAGCCAAAAAAGAAAAAAGAATTACCAGCACTGCGATGCAAGAGTCTAGATGGAAGCTGACGAAGTACAGAGATTTTGACAAGGAGCTTACACTCAAGAACATCGACTTCGGAGTATTTCACACCTGTAAGCACACCATTCGATAGCCAATGTAACAAGCTAACGAGTAAGACCCTGACTGGTGGAGCAAGTCAGTAGAATGGGCTAACCAATGGGTTATCGATCACGCGGCTGCAGGCCGCGCTGCGAATGTTCCCGTGGTCCACGAGGAGTACGGCTGGGTACGTATCACTTATTCAGAATCCTTTGCTTTTAGAAATCGCTGAACTGACCTGACTGCAGTTGACCGATGATAAGAGGCAAGAATACCTTGGCAAGACCTCAAATGTCACCAGACTCGAAGCTATTGGCCTCTGGCAAGCTACGGGTCTGAAAGAAAAGCTTGCAGGCGATATGTACTGGCAATTTGGGTATGGGGGATACTCTTACGGCAAGAACCACAATGATGGTTTTACCATCTACCTTGAAGATGCGGAAGCCCAGCCCCTGGTCTATCAGCACGCCGCGAAATACAACGCTCTTAACAAGAAGTAGTTGTATTTGATAGTTCTATAAGCGACATGTAGAAGCAGTATTGAACAGCAATCTAGCAACTTTTGAGCCTACTGCAACTGTCACAGAGCAGGATTGTTATCTACCACAACTTTTCGTTCACAGGCCACATGATCCAAGGTATCTACGTGAACAAATGTAATTCTATGAACCCAACGCTAATTTTGAAATGCATAAACCACTCGCATAATTACCCTGCCTCCCTCATACTACATCACATATTGCAGTCGATAGGGGCTGTGGTCTTCTGGGTGGCATGCGAGATAGTGCGAGCTGAGCGCGACCAATCTGTCTCCTTCGAGGCGGTGGTGTGAGCGCATCGACTTGTGGTGGCGGCCGCGATACTCATGTGCGAATTCGTAGCGGGTACCAGATGTCGTGGGCGATACAGGTCGCTTGTTGTTTGTACGCCCACTCCTGGATGAGCCGTCAGCTTTGATCCGCGGACTTCCTAGGTGCGATTCGCGCCTGGGAAGTCTCGGGTCTGGCAATGGGCTGCCCAGATGCTGTCGTTATTGGATTGCTGTCAACTTGCGACCCTGCTGACTGGGACTTTTCGTTTTCGCGGTTTGAAGTAGATGCTTTGGCTGACGACTTGAATGGCTTCGGATGCGATGGCTCCTTCGGCTATGCATCTGGGTTACCAGCTTTGGCCATTTTGGGTCTGGATAGGTAGATGGTCGAAGACCCATTATAAGACCCATCTTTATACTTGCCAAAGTAGAGGTAGTTACCTACCGCGTCCTTGACATAGCTCAAATCCGTCTCTTCTGCCTGGACGAATGGTACATGTACTATCTCAATATCATGAGCTAGCTCCTCTTCGAGTACACCTTCATGGACCGTAATGGACAGCTTTTTGCGACTCTCACGTTTAGGTCGTATTTCTGCTGTTGGCTTGACAGGCTTCATAGTTCTTTTCATAGCTTCCTTATGAAAATGAGTCATTAAGATTGTGTTCGTATGCATCACGTTGGAGTCCATCACGAAGTCTGGGTGTAGGTAGTGACCAACCGGATAAGCGGTGTCGCGGTTCGCCAGTGTGTTCTTGAGAACCTCAATAGAGAATGCCAACGTCGCTTCAGAGCCGTTGAATTTTTTGACCGAGGGTACGAAGTCGTGGAGACACTCTGCGATGGCTTGAAAGTGTTCCATAAGTGCGGTTGCGGCTTTTGCCCGTTCCACAACAAACATGAATGTGTCCACGAAGAGCTTATTTGGAATGTTGTGTTCGATATACAGCCTAAGCGTTGGGAGCAAGCTTTCACACTGGGCGAAGGCGTTGAGGAAGAGCTTCTGATACTTTTCAGGACCAGGTCGAGCCATTAAGACTCGAAAAACAGGATCTTGAATGTGCAAGCGTGTTTCTGGTCTGCTTTTGAGGAGATGTTCGACGCCTTCCGCGAGCTTCTTGCCCTCTGTAATCTTTGTTGCTATGTAACTATTGAGCTCCTGGAACTGATTGTGGTCGCTCTGATCATAGTCACCAATTTCTAATGGGTGGCGATGTCGTTGTAAGACATGCTCGAGCTCACCTCGCTCGACTGGTGGTATGAATGGTGTGCAATTGTCGCAGGGGCCTAATTGTTCTTGCCTGGCAAAAATCTGTGTCTCTTCGTCCTTGATCAGGAAGCACACAGCTGGTGCACGGTCAACACCCTGGCGTAGATTGTGTGAGCAGATTGCTATTTCGCATAGGTTCGTGTTCTTCGCACTGGTTGATAGTGTCTCTATGCCGCATTTGAGGCATCGTATCACGGTAAAGCCACACATCTTTGGTGCTAACTTGTTCAAGTGTATGTACTAGTGTGACTAGAGAGTTAACCTCGAGTTTTAAGCGGCGGCGGGGTAGGTGGTTAAGCACAGTCGGTAGTGCAGGAAGTTGGGTGGTTAAAGCGTGCGATGAAACAAGAGAACAACTGTTTAGAAGGGGCAACGTTCTATGAATATGGATGGTGAAACAAAAGAGATCCGAGATGTC